GGGGATAAACCCAAATAAAGCGGCGCCCATCTCCCTACACGGTTTTACAGAGTTAGACTCACGCCGAGTCTCCACAGTAACGTCGATGTACCCACACATTAGGTTTACATTTCACAGATTGCTTAACAGCAAAAAGAAAACACAATCACGTTGCTGGGATAGCGGATCAGGGACTCCTTCTCAGCAATGCTTCCACAGCAAACAGGGGACGTCCCCCGGACGTTTGTGTTTAACTTGCGAATAAGCCCTACGGTAGTTTTTCCAGAGATTGCCCCTTGGAAGATTGCTTGGCCTGAGGTAGACTGGTTTGTGCTTAAGGAGAAAAAGAAAGCAAAGGAAGAAATTAATTTGAAAAATGTATTTAACAATCGAGGAGGTAATTATAGTGAATTCATACACATTTATACAGATAGTGCTAAAAAACCAGAGACAGAAAAAACAGGGTTTTGGGGTGGCAATTCCGGGAAAAGAAATAGAAATTAGTAAAAGAACATCTAATAATCACTGAGAAGCTATGCAAACAGCTGTCATTATCGCGAACGATTTATTCAATTTCAGAATCGCGCAATAAAATCGTCGTTTTTTTGCGTAACTTGTCAGTGAACTACGGCTATGTGTAGTAAGTTCTGCTCCATCTGAAAGCACGTGATGATGATTTCCTGCTGATTACAGAACCGATGACTTGTAAGAGATATGAAACACAGAGGCAGGTAATGAAGAATAAACTAAGGGAGATTGGGGTGCAGGAGATCACATTACAAGGGTTACTAAGTACAGTAAATAGGGCACAGAGTAGAATATTGATTCCTTTTTTAAGGGAATCAGGGGTTTTAGGCAGGATTTGATGTGTGATGTGTGTGTGGATATTAATGTTAGGGGACAATGTGAGTGATGTGCAAGTTTTAGTAGGAAAAAGGAATAGATAACCTATTAGCTGATCCACACTCCGGAGCAGAAGGGGGCGGTAATGCACCAATAAGATGGATGACAACCGCCGTTAAACTGGAAAGAAGAAGAAGAAGAAGACGACGACGAAGAAGAAGAAGAACATTCGAGTTTTCCTGTCAGTTACAATCTCCAATAGTAATCCACAAGATAAATGTCGAACGGCTGTGATTGGTGCTGAATAAGGTATGGCTGTGCCCCGTCCATTTCAGAAAACTCGACGTATGTTCGACTTCGGCTGCGGCTTGATTTAACCGATCGGCGAGAGGAGTTGGTCGGACACTTTCTGCTTCCCGTAGTGGCGCTTGCACAATATTCGCATACATTACCATAAATGAGGTGGATTTATTGCATATAAGATTTTTTTCTTCTTTTCATGTAACAACAGAAACACATTTAATTCAATATTTTAGGCACTTCTTTATACAGTGCCTGTATATACAATAAAGTTCAACATAAGCCTTTACTATTTAAACACATAAAGTGAAGTCTATATTTACATGAAGAGCTTTTACTGTTATAAAAGATCATTTGTTAGCATTAGCATATTTGAAGGTTTTAAAATAAAACTACAATTCCTTGCTGCAGTTTGTAGCATGATTGCATTTCTCAAGGTTATGAAATCAGTATTTCGAAAGGGGCGGTGTATTGGGGGCGTTTGCACCAACGATTTTACGAGCTGGAACTTGGTAAAGAAAAGGTCAGCACGTTTTTTTTTTTTTTTTAATATGGTTTTGAATGAAGTCAATAAGAGTATTTGATCAAAAATGCAAAATAACTTTTATATATAAGAAACATTTCTTCTTATTATTAGATATTTGTTAACAGAAAGATTGAAATATAAATATGAAAGGGAAAATAGAAATGTTAATTTTGAAAGTATTTAAAAATTATTTTTATTAACATTATTGATGTCTTTACTGTCATTTTAGTAAGGGAATGGGATAATGGTAGGGGGCATTGGCCAAAAAAAATTGAGAACCACCACATTACATAGTGGATGTTGTAACACGCGTGGTCGATTGTTGGTCCGGTGACTGCATAAACGCAAGCGCAGTAGTGCAGCCGATAAACTACTTTTGTTTTGTATGGATTTTTAGTGCTCACATTGTTAACAAATGGTTAACAAAGTCAATAGTTTGTTTGGATACTGACATGCAAAATGTTAATGCATGAGACTTGAGAGCCCTGTTCAGAAGCCTGTGCAAAATTAGTTCCCTTTCGATACTACACTCATACTGCATCTTGCTTAAGATGCTATGGGAAAAAGCCTTTTTTCCTCCTGAACTGATGCCTTTTTTCAATCACGCAGTGAAACTGCACCGCCATTGGTTCGTGCAGTGTATTAAAAACGATCCAATGGCTCGGCAGTGGAGCTGCACGAGCCTATGGCGATGAAGCCCGCCAGAATGGGAAGGGCATCTGGCTATATAAGCGGGCGTTCGCCACAGGATTCTCAGATTGACACGCCTAGCAGCTGGACTGAGACCTCCCTGCTCGGCTGACCGACTCTCTTCGTGCCTCAGCGTCGCAGCAGTTCTGGTCCTGTTCCCCTGCCGCCATCCGGCGGTTCTGAAAGAGCTTATTTCTAGCAGGTAAGCCCTAAAAGAGCAAATTCTAGCGACGTTGTTGCAAATGTCGTGCTGTGAGTGTGGCTCGTCTAGGGAATCTTGCACGATGCAGAAGGGCAGTGAGTGCGTCACCTGTCTGGGCAGCCCCCACTCAGAGACTGCTCGCTCACTGAGACGGAATGCTCTCGTTGGAAGCATGAGTCTCGCTCTTCGCCTCTCGCGGACCGCCTTCACTGAAGGCAGCCCCGCTCTCCCGTTTCTCCTCTCTCAGCGAGCCTCAGAGAGGGAAACAGCGGAGTCAGGGAATAAGCAACCGGGTTTGACCGATCTCATGCCGGCACTGTGCCTGCATGCTCTCTCTCCCCGTTGCGCTTCGATCCGTGTCTCGCACGTAAGGATCAGCGTCCCTCTTTACATCGAGCGGCTCTATCCTCCTAAGTAGATCGGAGCAGATGCTGCCACTGGCAGCTTCGAATTGTGTGTGTCACTTAGGGTTGGGCGATGTCTACCAAATTGGCATCGGACGATGTCTACAGTGAAGCATCGTGATGGACGATGACATCGGGGGGCGGGGCGGGGTTAGGGGTGTGCCCGAAGCATGACACAAATAACACGTTGTACAGAGCCACTAAAAGGTTAGCCGCTTGCTAGCGGTAGCCTGTTGCATTACAGTACATGAAAGTTCACTTACCACATACACAGAGTAAGGAGAAATGTCTGATAGGACGATGGCGAATGATTTGCAGATCCTGAGCACCAATGACAAACATCTGATCTTGTCAAATTTGTGGTAAGTACTGCTGCTCCATAGTATAGAGTCCTTGTGATCGTGAATCTCAAAAGTGAAAGTAAAATGAGAGTGCACAATCGAAAGCGGTTTCAATAGCGGCTCCCTGATGACCGCAATTTATATACAGTCGCCTACCCAACGATATAATTGTGAGAAAGTATTTAAATATTTTTTTATCATCCCTTCTCGTAGGCTATTTATTGCCTTTAGGGTTTCCGTAGTACGCTTCATTTACTTTCCGAACACGGAACTGCGATGCGGCGGATTGTGGGAGAGGGGGTGGGGGGGACGGAATCACGATGTCAGCTTAACATCGGGATATCTGTCAGCCATTGGCGATGGACGATGGCATCGTCTATCGGCCCAACCCTAGT